TTTGACCATGTTCTATCTTAAAATATCTGAAAGCTGATTATTTATGACTTAAGAAATTGGGTGTGGATGGGCGTTGATGAAAAACATCTACACACACAATGAGTTTACCAGCTGGAATTTTATTTGAATGCCAAAGAGGAAATATACCGAGGTGTGGTGATGTATTTCAGGTTGTAAACATGGTTTGGAATGTATTGAAAGTTAATTAAATGAAATGAACCTCTTGTGTACTTTCTAAGATAACACCATTTGAATTTCCAAAGGGCTTTTTGGAGAAACAGATTGTTTTTGTAATTAGTTCAGGTTTTTAGGTTGGTTCTCCAAACCAACTTGTTAAGAGATGTTAGTTATTTTGGACAGCAGACACTACAACTGAACTATATTATGCTTAAAGCAGTATCTTATACTCGTTTGTTGTGATAATGCATAATATTCATAAGTTAATATGCAGTATTCTTTTAGTATTGTGACATGGGACCTCATTATTTGAATGATTCTGCATTATTCTGAGATATGAATTATCTCTGTGATAAAGTACAGAGCCGATGCATGTTAAATCCCTTTCACAGCTGTCAGCAGGAGAAGTGGTCAAAGGTCTTTAAAGGAAATCAGCAATTATTATCTTATCTAGCCATTAAGTAATGATTGAACCAAGTCACGTCACCTGCATGTTGTTTTGAATAACCTTTACTGTTCCTACATCAGAGTTTCTGACTAGTATTTCTGAGTTAGTATCTGCTTATTAATTTACATTTAGATAACGTCATGTTGGACCACGACATCTCATTAAATGATTTTTAGCAAGATGCCATTCATTTAATATATTATTTTATTGGTTCACTGACCAATGCTCGTTTCAATAAAGCATCATAAGGAGATGAACAGTTCTACCATCCTACTATACTATAAACTCAGTAAGGCCTTTGTTATTATGTAAATGAAAGTGTCTTTATTTATTTTAGAATTACATTTGTCCTCTTATCTCACATGCAGGAGCTCCCCATCAATATCAAATTCTGCTTCGAGGGTATGGAGGAGTCTGGATCCGAGGGCCTGGATGAACTGGTGTTCGCACGAAAAGACACCTTCCTAAAAGATGTGGACTACGTCTGCATCTCTGACAACTACTGGCTCGGCAAGACCAAACCCTGCATCACTTACGGCCTGAGAGGAATCTGCTACTTCTCCATTGAGGTGAAGTCTGACTTCACACAGATGTGTATTTTGTGAAAATGTATTCCAATGAAGCACAATACAAATATTGCTTTTTTGTATTTAAAGGTGCAATGTGGTGACAAGGATCTTCACTCAGGGGTGTTTGGTGGCTCTGTTCATGAAGCCATGACCGACCTGATCGCACTTATGGGTAAGTGAAGCTGATAATTGAACTATAATCTTATAAAAGTAATTTCAGTGCAGTTTTAGTGAGAGAATGGTAATAAAAAAGATTTTTCTCTGGACATTTTAAGTTGAGTTTAAATGTTGTGTCTGACTCTTTCTAAACAGGCTCCCTCTTGGACAATAAGGGGAAGATTTTGGTTCCCGGGATGAACGACGATGTGGCCCCTCTGTTAGATGAGGAGAAAAAGCTGTATGAGAAAATTGAATTTGACTTGGACGAGTACTGCAAAGACGTTGGAGTTGGACAGCTGCTGCATGACACCAAGGCAAGGCATTGATTTCTGTTGTTTAAATCTTTCAAAGGTAGAACAGTTCCCTGGGTCCCTGCATTGGAATCCATCATAACAAAGGTTTATTGTCATTTTTTTACTACAGGAGAAAATCCTGATGCACCGCTGGAGGTATCCATCCCTTTCTCTTCATGGTATTGAGGGAGCTTTCTCTGAAGCAGGAGCCAAGACTGTCATCCCCCGCAAGGTCATCGGAAAGTTCTCCATCCGCCTCGTCCCCGACATGGACCCCAAAGTTGTGGAGAAGCAGGTAGACCCGGAAATATCAAAAACACAGATCCTCATGCTGTCATCTGGTATTGTTCATGTGACTACAAAACTGAAACTGTCTCTGCTAGGGACATTTGAAATGATTTGACTTTTCCAACCACAGTCTGTAAGTGGTAGTGTGTCACAAAGATGACTCACTTGGTCGCGCTGCTTCAACAGAAATGTTGCAAGTCAAGCAGATTTAGAGAGCGGCCTAAATGTGTTCAGTTCCATTAATAGAGAAAAAAACAGTTAAAAAAGCTGCATCTATTCCTCTTGGCATTCAAGCAGTGATTGATGTGGTTATCGTGTCTGCTAATATGACAAGAACTTCCACTTTTCAAGAATTTAGTTTTGAAATCATGTATTTTGTATTATTTTCTAACTATATTCAACTTCTGTTTCTAGTGAGTTTGCCAACAGCTTAGCTAGGCGGAAAATATATTAAAAACTATAATCACATACCACAGTTACATTTAAATGACATCCGCAAAAGTTAGGCATTCATAAACCAGTCATTCAAACAAACACCCTATTGCTGAGAATTAAGTAAGATAATGAATTGTAGTTTTCTGTAAATGAATAGCATTAAGCCATTATGGACTCATTTATTTGCATACATTTATGCTAATTAATTGTAATGATTATTAAAATCCTGGTATGTTGTAAACAATGGGGTTTAGTTTTAGCATGTCATTAATCTCCACTGACACATTGTGTTAAATTGTAAAAAAATATCCTTGGTGCTTTGATTTCACTCGTTTTTTTTCATTTTTTGTTGTCAAGGTTATCGATCATCTGCAGAAGAAGTTTGCTGAACTGGGAAGCCCCAACAAGCTGAATGTGTACATGGGCCACGGCGCCAAGGCCTGGGTCTCTGACTTCAACCACCCGCACTACATGGCCGGCCGAAAGGCCATGAAGACAGGTACAGAGGCTGAGTCATGCAATACCAGAAATGTATCTGGATAAAGGCTCTTTTCACTTAAAACATATACTGCTTACACCCTCCATTTTCTAGCTAGTTTAATCGTTTTGGGTTTGCCAAATCTTTTAAATCGTTTTTTGTTGTGGGGCTCATACCACTTAAATACTTAGGTAGCATGTCTTAACCATAAACTGTGTCCTTGCTAATCAGAGTATTCCACAGATGTCACTATCGGAAGTTTCAGTGTTAGAAAATATTCCCCATTTGTTTCAATTGTAGCTAGAAAGCAATGAAAACCAAAGCCAGACTTAAATCAGAAATAAATAGGATGTCAAGATAACACAAAGGGTTAAGTGGGTCTTTTCTTCGTAACTTCTGTGAAATAATTTCTTTTTTGATCATTATTGAGAGAGGATTTGGGTTGGAATATTATCATTCTCGTTGCACTCTGTCTTTAATGTTGTAGATTATTTTTCCAATTGTATTAATCCCATTTTCTCCTCCTTGCTGTGCCGTAGTCTTTGGTGTGGAGCCTGACCTGACCCGTGAGGGAGGAAGCATCCCCGTCACCCTGACCTTCCAGGAGGCCACGGGACGTAACGTCATGCTGCTCCCTCTTGGATCCTCTGATGATGGAGCTCACTCCCAGAATGAAAAGCTCAACAGGTATGACACATTGCACTCCTGATCTACTTATTTCCTTTCCTTCCTAAATCACTGCGATTAAGAAGTGAGGGGGAATACCTCGAAATATACACTAAATAATAATAATACTTTATTTTTTTCCCATTTCAGAGTCAACTACATTCAGGGGACCAAGATGCTCGGTGCATACTTCCATGAGGTGTCCCAGCTGGAATGAAATGATGTCTCGTTATGAAAAAATGTAAAATATGTCCATCCTTACTATCAGAGCCATAGCCTTTGTGGTATGAATTACCTTTCAGTCAGCAGTTTTATACAAACCTCCTGATAATAAAAATGTTTTTGTTTGTAACTCTTTGTTGTCCTGTTTATTTATGACCTGCACTGCACCACTTATTAATTTACAATAACCTGTAATGTCCCTGGATTTTGCAGTTTTTTTCATTGTGATACTTGAAGCGTGATTAAAGAAAGTCTGTGATTACAATCTCTAATGCTCTCCTGTATATCAAGGAGTATCCATATTTCATATAATCACAGTACAGCGAGTCCCTTGCAAAACTAATCCCCAGTTACTATGTTACTATTTTTCTGCACGTCAGAGATAGGAAATAAATGATTTATTATAACTTAAGAAGAAAAGATACACGTTTGGATAGTTCCACACTCACAACATTTGTAAAGTGACATTTTTTGGTTTATTTTTTAAACATTTAACATACTCGCCATATGTACCAGTGACAGAACAATAACCTATTTTGACATTTAAGTCTGAAAACTTTTTAATTACAAAGTGTAATTTTTAACAATAACAATTCAGTGGTGGAGGATTATTCAGATTCTTAACTTTAGTATAAGTAGCAATGAAACAATGCAGGAATACTATGTTACAAGAAACAGTGCTCTACATAAAATGTTACTTAATAAAAAATATACCAAATATAACAAATATTTTGCATTAAAGTACAGTAGTACCAAAAACAAATTATCTTTATGCAGAATAGCCCATTGTTTTCATTATATTATTATATTTATCAATATACTGTATTATGTGTATCGGGTTGTTATGAAACCTGTATATTCTAACTAGTTGAAAAAGTTGTTATCTCTATGCAAACAGCCCATAATAGTCAAACAAAGGAAATTAAAGTGTATTTGTCTTTCGTCCTGTCCCTTTAAGAAGCAGGCGGATGTGGATTGATGCTGCAGGAAGTGATGCCTGACAGAGTAAAACGAGTAAAACTAAAGGCATGGGTTTGAAATTCAAGAGATTCAAAGCTATGCAAATACAATTCTTTTTTTGTTACTGTATATTATCCTCTGTCTTTATTTTGTCATCGTTTATACATTCCCCCACTTGATAAAGTACCCTGTAAAAACAGAACACTTTGTTGTGAGAATGGGGGATACAGGAAGTAACCTGGCAACCCAGCCTGTCATACACCGGCGCGGGAAAATCGTAAACAAAACACAGCGGCAGAGAAGCCTTTAGTGCGGTTTACTGATATGTTTACTTAGCAATAACTACATCTGTTGGGTTTTTGTCTCTTTTAGTAAGTGTTCCTTTTATTAGAGAACAAGCCGTTAAAGTAAATCACGGTTAAAAAAAAGCAGTTTCCGCTGCTAAATTAGAGATATGTTAGCAATAATGTCGAGTTTATTATAACGTGAGCTAGCTAGCACATCGTGTTGCTGCAACGTTAACTTTCGCCTGACAGACCCTATGCTCTAAATGCCTATGCAAGGATTTTAAAGTTAGTTGAATAAGATAAGACGTGTTGTCCCAGTAAACGTTACCATGGATCGATACAACGATGTAAAAATTCAGCTGAAAACCTGGGAGCAGGGGTTTGTCAAAGACCACCAGAGGAAACCAAACAAGGTGATTTAAATGCTAAACATTAGCTGCTAGTAATAATAATAATAATAATGTCAACCCCATGCTTTAACTTACTATGCATGTCATATGTTTTTAATTGTTGTTATTTCAATGTGGTTTTGTTTGTCCACAGGATATTTCAATCCATGTTTCTCTTCCTTATACCTCATAATAACTGGCTATTAAAATGCTCTTTTTTTCCAGGAGGACATTGATCAAGCTCCAGATGAGACCAGGAGTGAGTATGAGCAATAACTTGCAACATACTGTATATCTAATCCATCTGAAGCATAGATGATCCGGTTAGAGCCAGAAGCATTTGAGCTATATTGTGTGTTTTAATTCCAGTCCTGTATAAAGAGTACCGCAGTTTGAAACAAGCCAAAGACAACAGGAGCAGTGATGCAGGCAGCGGACACGTTGAACAAGCCAGATCTACAGCTGCGGTCAACACACCACAGAAGGTACTAAAGAAAGTGTGTTTTATAGCAAAATAGACAGTAAGACAAGTGGTTTCCTATATCTGTTACTATGTGCTTGTCATTGCTCTTCATAGGAGGCAGACTGTTGGGGATCCCATCTGAACCGCAGTTCACAGCCTGCACCTTCTCCCAGACTGACAGCCGAGGAGAGAGACAATCTGCAGGCCTCTGCCCAATACTATGGCATGAAACTGAAAAACAACATGGGGACACTCGGTAAGGTAAGGCACACTTTGAAAAAAACAAACACAATATGGTGGTAAGAGAAATGCTTACTTAGAAACTTAGGATAAGTTAAGATATTTTTTGGTTATATTCCAGGAGAGACCTGTCTCACTGAAGAAATCGTTCCTTCCTGGTCGGGTGCCTCTTAACTCCCTGAAAGATGGACTAACTGGACAGACGAACAGCCCTGTTGCGACCCCTGTGAAGAACCCTTTCAATGGACCCAGATCCAGCCCCTTCACACCAAGGTAATTCAATGAAAGAAGGTATTGTAATGTTGGCATATTATCAGGGCAATATTAACTGATCAATATGAAACCACATTTCTATTATAGTTGGATGAATTGTTAAGTCTTAAATTCCCTATGCCATACAGGCATGAGGGAACACTTATTTTAGACTTTTATTATTTATATTACTTATTTGTTGATACCTGCACACTTTTACTGACTATGTGTATTGTATACTGTTATATGCATCTATTTTATGTTCACTTGCTGTACCAAAGACACATTTCCACTGAGGTCTACAACGCATTTAATCTAATCTAATCTAATATTAAATGTCATAAAATATCCAGAGTCCAAAGTCACATCTTCAAATGCCTTGCTTGTCGACAGTCCATAATGGAAAGATATCTATTTGACAATAATACAAAGAGAATATCCTGTTCTTTAATAACAATGCTCCTAGTTTCTAAGACAGTTTTTTGTTTGTTTTAGCTTTCCCTATAATTGTGTTTTTCTTCACAGAAGATTTAACACACCCCACGGCCTGGCTTCAAAGACACCCCAGAAAGCGGAGCCTGAAGAGCCGTGTGCACCCTTTGAATCTGTCAAAGATTCTTGTGAAGAACCTGCAAGTGCTGCTATTAGTTATAGTAGTCCTAGTGTTATAAGTAGTAAGAGTTGTACTAGCAAAGTTATTAGTTCACAAAATCTGAATATCTCTCATCTAGCTCCCTCTCCAGCCAGATCTTCTTCACTGTTGTCATCATTATCTTCTCCAAGTAGGCCAGGCACTTTAAGAGGAGATGTAGGAGCCACGGGCAAATTAAATGAAAGTATAGGAGCTTTAGGAGACAAAGAAGAACATGTGGACACTTTCAGAACTCCTCATAAGGTTGATGATGAGGCAGGTGTTGGAGCTTTGATCAGCTTGAGGGGAAGCCCTCAGGTTATTGCTGGTTTCAGAGGAGGACTGGCAGGAAAGCCCTCTCCTGCCAGCAGATTGAGTTTTGTTGACAAGAAGTGGCTGGAGAGGTGTCAGGTGTTCGGAGAGATGGGGGCTGAGGTGAAGCCTGGAGCAGGCAACATGGAGAAAAGAGGAGAGTGTGAAGAGGGAAGAGAAACAAAAGTGAAAACACAAGAAGAGGAGAAATCTGGAAAAGAAGAAATACATGTAGCCGAAGAAAGAAAAGCAGCAAAAGTCTCGGGAGAAGTTAAAGAGCCTAAGAGCATTACCCATGACAAAACAGTCAGTGAACGTGAACCAGAACCTTCTCTACAACACACTGGAAAAAGCCATCAAGGAAAAAGGAAAGGGAAATCAAAAGCGAAGGAAGATATGGAGGAGATGGAAAGAGGACTGACACCACCTTTAACGCCAGAAGAGGACAATGAGGGGAGTAACAAATCCAAAGGTGGAAAGAAGAAAGGGAAGAAAAGGCAGAGAGAGGCAGAGCACATGGACGCAGAGACGCCAGAGGAGGGAGGAGTGAAGAAGAGGCGGAGGAATGGTAAGAAGAAAGAGGAGAGCTCTGATGGAAACCCCAGCACAGCTCCAGAAGGAGGGAAGAAAAAGAGATCCAAGAAAAAGGGAGATGAAGACGAGGAGGCAGAAGAAGAGAAAAAAACCAAGGAACCAACAAAGGTACGTCAGTCATACTCATATGCGCATACTGTGCATACTGTGCATACTGTGCATACTGTGCATACTGTGCATACTGTGCAAATGATTTAAATACATTCTTCTTCTGTCCAGCTTCCTCAGGAGAACTTGTTAGGAGAAATAGAGGAGGACTATAAAGCCAGAAGGGCGTATAAAACTCAGCCTGCCAAAGTCAAGTAAGACAAAACACACCCTGCTGCATCATGTCGTTAAAACACATCCATTTGTGTTCCTGTTCCAAACCCTTCTTTATTCCTACAGAGGCATGCAAGGGGCAGAGGGTAACTTTGTGAAGATCAATCTGAAGAAGAAATCCCATGTCAAAGGATACGCTCTCAGAGGTGCTGGTCTACGCAAACAGGTACGTGTTGTGTTTGTGGCACATGTCCTATAATCAAAGCATAAAGGGTTCAACTGAACTTCCTGCCTGCTAACTCGGTGTGTGATGTGATGATGATCAAGACACTTAATTATAAAAAACATGTCTTTATTGGGTGATTCCTTTCCAAATCACTGAAAAGACGACATATCCTTGTGTGAAATAGATTTGTTTCTGTACTTTCTAAACCATTCGTACAGTTAACACGAGTTGTCATGATACAAAATGTATCCAGCGTCTTTCACTGTTGTACTCTTTTTAGATATACATGGAGAAGTTCCAGCTGAAGGGCGAACGTTTCGGTGGACATGGATTTCTTAGCAGAGGAGGAGGAGGGGGTGGTTTCAGAGGGGGAGGATACAGAGGAGGTTTCAGAGGGGGGATGAATCAGTCGGGGGACATCTGCTACAAGTGTGGAGGGACCGGACACTGGGCCATCCACTGCAAGGGACCAGGTATACACACAGAGACATGTCTAATCTGCTTGTTAAACAACAAACAGAGTAATACTTCAGTAATACTTAAAGTTTTCCTGACAACAGGGGGTCGACTCGTCTGTTCATCAGCGATTCATCTCCTCAATTAATTTTTAATGTGTCACAATTCTTAACTTAATCGCTGATAACCTTACCGTCTGTATGGGCCATAAGAGTGATGCAACTGTCCACATCAGACAACTTCTGAACCTCTGAACTCTTGTTTCTTTACGCAGCCCCCCCCCCTTCTGCTGCAGAGGACCAGGAGCCGTTTGACCTGCCCACCTTGGAGGAGGTTGCCAGGGCAACAGGCACACTGCAACCTCAGCCGATGGGTAAGCCTGTCAAACTTTTTGTGTAACTGACCTTTACTAATTAATCTCTTAGTACGGTTACTGTATATTTGAGTTTTTGTTATAACTATAAAACACAATGTAGGTTTTCAGGTTTATCTATTTGTTTGATGAATACGTTTTCAGACCTCTCAAAAATCACTGCGAACAATATTTAATGCATCTTAGATAAACCACACAAAATGTACACAAACTGTGTTGTAGAAGTACGTCATCAACCTGCATGAAAATACAATTGTTGTATACTTTGGCTAGTTATTAAAGTTTATTTTGTCTAAAAATGATCAATTAAAAAAAATGTATTAAAGGTCCCATGACATGCTTTTCCGGTTATTACCCGTCCCCTTGTGTGTTATGTACAGGGGTGCACACAACTTTCTCAGTGAGGTACTCAGATGAGTACCTGGAGTCAGTGTTTGGTACTCCAACTGCTGGCGATTGTCAACGGGGGGGGGGGGGGGGGTAGTAGTGGAGTACAGCGCTTCGCGATTGTCAACGGGGGGGTGGGCGGTGGTAGTGGAGTACAGAGCTTCGTGACCGCGGAGCGTGTGACCGTTGTGATCAGCTGTTTTAGCGCAGGGCTGCTGTACAGACCGACGTTAACAGCAGCCCTGTCTGTGCACACGGAGACCGACTCTGTCGTCCGGTGATCTAACCGCCTTCTGGAAAAGCTTCACAAGTACGTCGGTACGCAAATGCGCTTTGTGACACAAGTGACGGTACGCATTTCAGATTGTTGCCGCGCATGCGTACCTGCGTACCAGTTATGTGCACCCCTGGTTATGTAGCTTTTTCTGCATGTAAACGGTCTGCAGAGTCACAAACCCTCAAAGTACACCCTGTAGCGAGTAAAACTCTAACACAGAAAATACCTGTCTATGCTGCCCCAGAACGCCTCATTTTTTTCTTCCTGGTCATAGTGACGACCAATCCGCGGAGCTCCTCACACACACACTCACTCAGCCTTATCTTTTCTCAGCCGCGGCTCCGCCTGGCTGTGTGTGAGTGTGTGTGTGTGCTCAGGCTGAGTTCCGCGGTGTCTCGCTGTCTCACAGACCCCACGCAGCAACCAGGAAACGACACCAGTAACCCAGCTCACACTGTCCGCTCCGCGAGCCTCAAAGGGCGGAGCAGCGAGCCCCGCAACGTCCCGCCAACACGGCACCCAGACCCCACGCAGCATTCTCATCTGTTTGTCATTGCTGGTGTCATTTTCTGGTTGCTAACAAACGCCATTGTAACACATAATCACTGATGTTCCGCTGTAACGGTGGTGGACTCATCAGAACAGAGTGGGCGAGCTGACCAATCAGAGCACAGTGGGCTCACAGGGAGGGGGGGCAGGATCTCCAACAAGCCGTTTAGGACAGAGAGTGAATACACATACTATACAGAGATGCTGTATGAGAAACCAATGTGAGTTTGGAAAATTGAACAATGTAAATCTATTCTAGTGGACCTCAACAATGGAATTATGATCAGTAGAAATGGCCATGACATGGGACCTTTAACACAATTTGTCCACCATATCTTTTCATACGAGTGATTTAATCACTTTAGCAGCAACAAAATACAATATTGTATTACGGGTTTTTAGGTTTTGCAATTTTGTACAACAATACAACTTTAAAAATAGGATCAGAATGTTTAAGAAAACTGCTGCTTATGTTTTTGTGTGTTTTTCGTTGTTGCGTGTGTTTAAATCCTGCTTTGTTTCTGTGTTCCAGCAGCGTCTTCCAGTACAGCAGAGGAGCAGCCGTCCCAGGATAAGCAGGGTGACGGTAGCACTAAAGACGAGGTGTTGCTGAACGTGATTCGTCCTGACTATGAGCGTCCCGTTGTTCCACCTCCAATGGAACCACTGTTTCCTCTCACAGATGATGGGAAAGTCCAGGGTAAACACTTACTTTGTTCCTTGTAATTAAAAACAACAAAATAGACTCAGAACATTTGCTCCAAAGCTCACACATTTGTGGGAATATGTGTCCGTTTTAGAAGCGCCTCCTGAGCTGTATGAAGCCCTGAAAGAACTCGGCTATCAGTCATTTAGACCCGGACAAGCGGAAGCTATCATGAGGATCCTGTCAGGTATGCACAGTACACACAGATAAAATCACACATCTAAGATCTTTGTAATAATGTGTCTCCCTTCTTCCTCCAGGTCTCTCTACCCTGGTAGTGTTGTCAACAGGGATGGGTAAATCGTTGTGCTATCAGCTCCCAGCCTACATGTATGCTAAGCGATCGAATAGCATCACTTTGGTCATTTCCCCTCTAGTCTCCCTAATGGATGACCAGGTAACCGTCCTCTCACACATGCATCCACAACAAAAAGACAACATCTAAAGAAATCGACCATAATTTAAAACATTTACCCTCTCCCTCTTGATGTTAATGTCTTTCTCTGCATTAAGGTGTCTGGCCTGCCAGCCAATCTGAAGGCAGCCTGTATTCACTCCAACATGAGCAAGAAACAGAGAGAAGCTGCGATAGAAAAGGTACGTGGCAATTGTAAGATTTCATTCTGAAAAACATCTTTGGCTCAGATAGAGTTACCTGTGAGAGAAGCAGGGACCTGATACGTGCTAACTTGAGTTTTACTGCGAACTTGACCTCTTTTAAGACACCACAATACCAGTACAACAATGCCCTGTTAAATCATTGCAGTTTCCAAATCCACAGTGATTAAAATAAATGCATATAGTAGAATTTGCAATTTGCTCGTAAAGTTGATTTCACTCACCAGCCAAAAAACTAAAACTAAATGAATCAGAATTTATTGCCAGTTACGTTTACACATACAAGGAATTTGCTTTGGTGGTGAGAACATAAACAATCTAAAAAAACTTGTTGCAAAGTAGGTAAAAAAAAGAAATATATAATGATAATAAGTATTTTTAAGAAACAATTTAGCATAAAAAAAGGATGCTAAAGACTTTACACCACATTTTTATTTAACTATACAAATAACCTTGAAAGCTTAAAAACAAAAAACACTTGGGTATATATGGCAAACTACAGTGTATTATATTTTAACGTGGAGGTCTGTGCAGACATGTGTGCAAAGCAAAATGTTGATTTATTGAGTGGATGGTAAAATGTGAAGTTTTTCTCCTTCTTCTGTTACTGCAGGTGAAGGCAGGCGAGGTGTGTGTGTTGCTGCTCTCCCCGGAGGCTCTGGTGGGGGGAGGGGGATCAGGTGCAGGGTGTCTCCCCTCTGCTCAGGACCTCCCTCCTGTGGCCTTCGCCTGTATTGACGAGGCTCACTGTGTCTCAGAGTGGTCGCACAACTTCAGACCCTGCTACCTGAGACTCTGTAAGGTGGGTTCATCGTGGAGTGTCTCTTTAACCAATAAACATATTGCAATAGATTACATTGTTGAAATATACCTTTCGTTTTAAGGACAGCAATTCAACCAAAAGTCATTAAGGTACAGACACTTTAAGAAGTTGTCAACATCCCAATTTGAGCACATTTAAAACCGACAATGCTTAGCAAATTGGAGCATTCCTAAGTGTTATATGGTGTAAAGAGTAAAAACTATTTATTAGTGTAAAGGATATTTTCAGTGACTTTTCCACGGGGACTTCTTTTGTCTCTTAAGTAGGATTTATAATTTGAAACCAATAATGGAGCATAAGAAAAATATAATTTTCACAAATCAGGATAGTCGATGGTATATTGTTTTTAGATCTCATTGAGGGTAGTTTTTATGAGCAAAGGTATGTCTCCACATGATGGTTATAATCCTGAACATCAGTCTATTAGCAGCCAATCACACTTAAAAACATCCTTATATGTAAAAGAAAATACAACTACAAAAACGATATCATCTATGTGTGTCTGTACTGTAGGTGCTTAGGGAGCGTTTGGGAGTGCGGTGCTTGCTGGGACTCACAGCTACGGCCACACTTTCCACTGCTATGGACATCGCACGACATCTGAACATCAACGATAAAGACGGCATCGCAGTCCGATCTGCAGCAGTGCCTCCGAACCTGCACCTGTCTGTGTCCATGGATAGAGAAAAAGATCAGGTGTGTAGGGTTGCATGTTTCTGGAGAAAAGTATTTTCCAGAACTCCATCTGTCTATGGACATTTTCAACTTTCTTTTCATGTTTATCTTTGTCTTTCCTGTCTTTTTGTATAAAGGCTTTAGTGTCCTTGCTGAAAGGAGATCGTTTTGGTTGTCTGGACTCCATCATCGTCTACTGTACTCGCAGAGAGGAGACCACTCGCATTTCAGCGCTGCTCAGGACCTGCCTGCAAGGAGTGATCCTGAAAGAAAACAAAAATATAAACAGCAACAGTCGGGCAGAATACAACCCTATAGGACAGAAAAAGAAAGACTTGGGTAAGGATGGAATAATACTTATTTATATCTAATGCCGAGAGAGGGGATAATGGTCGGGGCAGTGGTGTAATCAAATATGCTAGATTTCAATCCTACATTACATCCTTCAAAAAGCAGCACTCTCTTTGACTTGGTGCATCTTCCCCCTCCCCTGTGTTTCTACATTTAGCAAGGAAGAAGATTCGTAAACCTCTGAAATGGCAGGCGGAGTCGTACCATGCCGGCTTGTCCTCTTCAGAGCGCCGTCGTGTCCAGAACAACTTCATGTGCGGGGAGCTCCGACTCGTGGTGGCCACTGTGGCGTTTGGCATGGGCCTCGATAAGTCTGACGTCCGCGGCGTCATCCACTACAACATGCCTAAAGTGGGTAGTGATCTTATTTAGTCAAAAACAAAATTCTTTCAAATGTTATGTGATCACGTTGCAACTTCTACATATTATCTGCAACTGTATCAGGTGTGAATACATGAATCATTTATGTGGTCAAGAGCAAACCTCTTTTGATTGTGGGGGACACTTCTGAAGCAATTGGAGTCAGGACTCAAAGAGAGACACGATGGAGAGCTGGAGCTTTGATGGCAAACACTGACGGTTTATTCTGAGCTTCGGCCGGAGAATTCACAAGACATGTCACGGGCCAGGGTTTTGACCACACGGTTGAGATGCCACAATCAATTCTGAAGAACTCTTCTGTAGTTCGAGGTTTGAACTAGTTCGGAGTGTAATAATCAACATTCTTTATCAGCGAGACTAAACAAATATGGACCCTGAATCTAACTAGAGCTGTCGTCCATAGAAAAGAATGTGCGCCAGGAAACCTACGTTCCTAAAAACAAGGGCTTCTAGATGTCCCTGAACAATAAACTATCTCATGTCAGCTTGTGCTCGGTCATAAGCTGTCAACAACAATGCGCCCAAGCTGCTCCTCCTTAAGAGAGATAGCAGCAATGCCCAAGGCCGTAGACCTATGCCATGGGAAAGGAGAAAATGATGAACTGTGTCAAAGGTTGAATACCTAAGCAATTTATTCCCCAACATTAATCATGTTATATAGATCTCCATTATCAGAGGGAGTTTGCCCAGCTGTCATGTCAAGAAATACATTCCAAAGACCTGTTTTTCACCCGTTTAAAATGTGAATATACATAGGAGGTTCTTTCGTCAGATAGATTCCCTTTAATACTATAGACAGGGGTGCACATAACTGGTACGCAGGTACGCATGCGCGGCAACAATCTGAAATGCGTAACGTCACTTGTGTCACAACGCGCCTTTGCGTACCTGATAGGTCATCAAAACAAAACACATATTTCGCCTACACATGTTTCTTGTCAATACTCAGTGGAGTAAATTATTAGACCTGTCCAAAAAAAACAAAGACATTAAGCAGCCACTTTGCCGTTTCGCTCCCTGCTAAAATCTTCAGACTTTCTATGACTGATTGAACTGGGTGCTGGCCGTGCCGCGCAGGACATAACCGACGGACCTGTGAAGCTTCACAGGAGGCAGAGGCTTAGATCACTGGACGACAGAGTTGGTCGCCGTGTGCACAGACGGAGCTGCTGTTAACGTCGGTGTGTACAACAGAATTGTACCAAAACTACGTCAACTGGCTGCGGTGGGAGACTCCCCTGTGCACATTCTGTGCCCCGCGCACACACTGGAGAACTGCGCAAAATCAGCTGATCACAACGTTCACGCTCTGTGGTCAAGCTGCTGCAGTTTTATTTACAACAAAGTGGAGTAAAACACACAGCTGCAAACTTACTCAGGCTGTTAATGGAAGAGTTTGAAATCAGACAGAGGTGGAAGAAGTGTTACTCAAGTAAAATTAGAAAAGTATTATCATCAAAATCTAGTTAAAGTAGCGACAGTAAAAGTAGTCATTTTGCAGATTGGTCCATTTCATAATAATGTATATGATATGTTTTATAATTATTGATCATTAAAGTGTTTAAAAATGAGTTTGAATGACTTTGTATACTGCAGGGTAGCTTGTGGATTTACTCCAGGTGGAACTAAAGTCTGATTTAACACTTGATTATATTTTCACATCATTCATCCACATCTGTAAAGTAACTAAAGGTATTAAATACATGTAGTGGAAGAAAAGTACATGATTTACCTCTGAACTGTAGTGGAGTAGAAGTACAAAGTAGCATAAAATAGAAATACTCAAGTAAACTACAAGTATCTTAAATTGTACCTAAGTACAGTACTTGAATAAGTGTACTTTGTTACTTCCCACCTCTGAAATCAGATATGACTTCAAGTCATGTGATAATTTCTTAGTATTTGATCCTTCAACTTGGCCTCAGGAAATGCAAGGACTTCACAGTTTTGGCAACAAGTTTTGGAGAAAGCAAATCGGAGGCTTACAAAGAGACAGGGAGGTGCATCTTCATCATCTTCATCATCTAGCATGCAAGAAGTGTAAATAGAGGACAGTGAAGGAGACACTGAGGAGGACAGTGAGGAAGACTGCACTTATTAACACCACGCTTCATGTGGGGTGAGTACCAAACGCTGTCTCCTGGTACTCATCTGAGTAACTCACTCAAAAAGTTATGTGCACACCTGACTATAGATTTACCCAGATAATACAACAAAAAAGAAACTCAGAGTCCAAAAGTCTCGTCTTAATCAGTATTGTCTTACTGGTCAATGTCTTTTTTCAGAGCTTTGAGAGCTACGTCCAGGAGATCGGGAGGGCAGGAAGAGATGGAGAGCCCGCACACTGTCACCTCTTTCTGAACCCTGGGGTAACACTGTCAATAACTGTGTGACTCTATGATGGCCTTCTTGTTAAAGTCACTCTGTACATTTGAAGCATAAATTAATGTGTGTGTGTGTAGGGTGAGGACCTCCATGAGCTCCGTCGGCATATACACTCGGACACGGTGGACTACTTCACAGTAAAGAAACTGGTCCAGAAAGTTTTCCCTCCATGTAAATGTAAACAGATTCACCAGAAACAACAGGAGCTTGAACAGGTACTGTGTGTGTGTGTGTGTGTGTGTGTGTGTGTGTGTGTGTGTGTGTGTGTGTGTGTGTGTGTGGTGTGTGTGTGTAGGTGTGTGTGTGTGTGTGTGTGTGTGTGTGTGTGTGTGTGTGTGTGTGTGTGTGTGTGTGTGTGTGTGTGTGTGTGTGTGTGTGTGTGTGTGTGTGTGTGTGTGTGTGTGTGTGTGTGTGTGTGTGTGTGTGTGTGTGTGTGTGTGTGTGTGTGTGTGTGTGTGTGTGTGTGTGTGTGTGTGTGTGTGTGTGTGTGTGTGTGTGTGTGTGTGTGTGTGTGTGTGTGTGTGTGTGTGTGTGTGTGTGTGTGTGTGTGTGTGTGTGTGTGTGTGTGTGTTCTAAATACAGTACAAATAAAAATACAGCTGCTAAGTGAAAACTCTCTGTGTGTAAAAGGACATGGAAGATAAGGAGATGATGGAGATGATGGATATGTGCGATCCAGAGAACCTGAGCGCTCCCACTCAGCAGGATGTAGAACATACAGACACACCAGAGAACCTGAGCGCTCCCACTCAGCAGGATGTAGAACATACAGACACACCAGAGAACCTGAGCGCTCCCACTCAGCAGGATGTAGAACATACAGACACACCAGAACAGTCAACTGCACAGGTAATAAAGAAAAAGGGTTATAATATATTTGTACGCTTTCTTCTTCACTGCTTTACCCAACAAATGTGCGGTCATAACCTAAGCAAGAAAGGAAATTGAAGAGATTGTTTTCCAGCGAGGACACATTTTATAAAGTTATTCATATAGGAAACAAATATTTTGGACAAAAAAAGTGAATGCTGTGTTTTTATTGCAAGGAGTCGTCACATCCAGAGGCAGCAGAGCTCCCGCTCCAAGACTGTAAAGATGAAGGAAAGGAAATGGAGCTGGAGGAGGAGAAAGAGGAGCAGAGAGTTAAACATGAAGAAGCCGAGGGTTCGATAAAGCCCAAGGATGGGAAGTTGCAAGAAGCTGATTGGCTAAAGGACCAGGAAGAGGACAGCAGTGATTGGCCCAAAGAGCGGGTCTGTCACACGCATGAGAGAGCGATTCCCATGGAAGCAACTGTGGAGGCTCTGGACGTCACAGAGGAAGGTGAGTGGAAAGGCAGACAGGGCAAGGTCACGAGTTAAGATTCCAACAAACAACTGATGTTTAGAGCAGGGGGTCCGCGGGGTCTTAAAAAGTATTAAAAGTTGATCAATCAATTTAGTGAAAATTAAGGCTATTAGAAAGTATTAAGCGGCATTTTCCAAGGTATTACATTTTGTAGCTTGTTTTCAATAAGTATATACATTGTCCAAAGAGGTTGTATTCTACAGTTTGCCTGAATGTAATCATTGCGTAGGTGTGTAGTGTGATTCTGTGTAGTTTTATTTATGGCATCCCGTTGGATTGGACGTCATCTGAACAGGACATGCACGCTCACTGCTTGATAGCGCGCGAAGGTCCGTTTACGCCGGTTGTTAAACAACATCGTTATGGGGAAATGCAAGTTTGCGTCCAAATGGTTGGAAGATAAGGAGGAAGGACAATCAATACTGTATATAGTAAATGTGTCGCCAATAACCGGTTAAAACTCAAAGTGGCGATGAGGTCTTAAAATGTATGGAAAAGGTCTTAAAAGGTATTACATTTGACTTCAGGATTCCTGCATATACCCTGTAGAGAGACGGATAGATTTATTCAAAACATTCAGAACAAATATGGAGTTGCAAGTAGGTAAGAGGCTCCAAATGCAGAGAAAGGGAAAAAAGTCATAAGAGAAACAATAAGAAAAACATTCATGGTCTTTCTCCTTTGTGTGTTCCAGGTGTAGAAACGCTGCTCTGCTATCTGGAGCTGCACCCCCAGCGCTTTGTGGAGCTGCTCCACCCCACGCTGTCTGTGTGTAAAATCGGCTGCTATAGTGGACCCAAACAACTCCAGAAACTCATTAAAATGTATGACTTGTCATTCCTTAGTACATTCTAATGTTTATATAAATATAAAGACATTTAACTGTGTAGTCATCAGCTATTTTCAGAGATATACTGTGCTGAGTTGATCATATTTGTCCTGTTTTACATTGTGTCACAGTTGCCCTCCCATTGCTGTGGTGTTGGCCAGAAGGCGGATGGCGGGCGAGCGAGTGGAGACGTGTGATCAGCTGGAGTTCGATGTCGTTGAGGTTGCAGACACTATGGGATGGCAGCTATCTCTTGTGAAGAGAGGACTCCGACAGCTGCAGTGGTCCTCCGGTATGTGATGGCACTAATAAACACTTTCTGGGTCTGTTCTCTTGTCTGGTATGTTTTATCCTCGGGGTAGATACTGGTTTGCACAGTTCTAAGCAAGTATCCACCATGACATCAAAGCAACACCTATAGCAAGAAGAATATGTCACTGTTGAATAAAATAAAATAAGAATGCACTGAATGCAACTGGTGAAGATTAGTAAATCAAACACGAGTAGTTGAACCGCTCTCAATCAAATATCGTCTGCTTTTAACCTCGTCTACCGTGTGCAGAAAACATGTATTAAATATATATTAAACAAAACATTTGTGTTTCAGTTGGAGGCCGTAGCGGTGTCAGCGTTGAATTGTCTTCCTTATCGTTCTACTTCCGATCCTTTGGCGACCTCAGCGACGAGGAGATGGACAGAGTGTGTCAGTTCCTCTATAATCGAGTCCAGAACCAGGAGAAAACGCAGATCTACCAGCTCACCTCCGCCTTCAAGGCCTTCAAAAGGTACACACATACACTAAAGCTGCGTTTTACCCTCAAGATAAATGTATTATAGAAACTCCCAAAGGTGTTTTCCACAGCCTTAAAATAGTTTTTAGAAAGCTGAAAGATCAATCGTTATGCTCCTTCCTCACTGTATTTGTATTTGCCTGCTTTGTTCCCAGATTGCATCAACAAATATCAGAAGTAAATTAATCTGAATTTGTGATCAAAGATGCTCACTTGTTATAGTGATTTTATAAAACCCTATCCATCTGTGGATAATTCAAAATGTAATTCTTGATGAAATAATGCTAGATATTGTTTGTGACTGTGTTGCTCCTTATGACTCCTACTTTTTATATAGGTTTATAAAGGTTGGCATGAAGTCTGTGAGTAACCACCTATTCATTCAACATACCTTTACAATGTCACTTTGACACCTAAACCTTTTAAAAGCTGGCAAATGCTTTAGAGCAGGGGTACTCAAACTTTTTTATTAAAGGTCCACTTGTGAATTTTATACAAGGTCACTGGTCCGGATAAATGCCAGTAAAGTCCCCCCCCCCCCCGGTGCGGAGCAACGAAACTGAAATTAAGAAGCAGTTTCTTACGGCGCGCTATGCATGGGGTTTCCCGACATGTCGTTGCAGTAAATGTAAGGGTGTTTCATGTTGTCGTTGCTGTGGACCTTCTTAATCTACCTTCTTTGGGGGCGCCCTTCTGGTCCAAGCACTTGCCTGCCCCTTGCCTGTCGGCAAACGGCGCCCCTGTATACACACACACACATTCAATACATACATATGGTGGCTTGAACTAGTGGGAGAAATGGCACTGTTTGTCTGTAGCCTTGAACCTCGGCAAAAAAGGCATTAGAAGCATTAGAAAGTCAAGGTAAACTTGCGGTTAACTTGCGGTCTGCAATGCGTGTCACGCTCGCGCACACAAGAAAATATTTATGCACGTTCATTCTCACAACGCGTCCGACACAAACAAATATACATTAATTTACATCAGAATCAGAAAGTTTTTATTTTTTTATTTTGTATAATTTTTATTTTTTATAATGGGACACAGGGTTAGGTCCGGATTGATTTGCATTCGGTCCAACTTTGGTCCGGAGTTGGAGAAGCCCTGCTTTAGAGAGTCCTGCAAAATGTCCAAATAATAAGATGGGACTGTATAAAATGGCAATTATTTTTCTCACATGTACAACTATGTGTGTGTGTTCTCTCTCTCTGTCTGTTCACTTCTCTACTTTACCTTGTGTGTGTGTCTAATGGTGTGTGTGTGTGTGTGTGTCTAATGGTGTGTGTGTGCTCTGTGTTGCAGTGTTGCATTTCCGAGTGCATCGTCCTGTGTCGACGACTTGGATGAGAGTCGCAGTCTGAGGCTGAAAGACCTTCTGTCCGATTACTTCGACAAGAGGCGGGACCTAAGCCAGATGCTCGCACCGGTGTACATCGAGGAGCTCGACAAATATAAGGTAAATACACAGGAGGGTTATCAGGAGTTATCGGCTGAATTAGTGTCTTTAAACGTTCTGGATGTTGAGGATTACTTGTTATTTTTGTGTGTTTGTAGTTTTCAGACTGGGAGAATCAGATCAGAGCGGACATCAGAAGTTTTCTCTCCAACCGGAGTGATGAGAAGTTTTCTGGAAGAGCTGTTGCTAGAATCCTCCACGGCATAGGTGAGACATACACATACATCTGATGATGCTCGAACAAAATATGTGTCTTTATTATATAAGTATGTTATAAGGGTGACCACAGATGTATCTTGACCTTAGAGGTTAATAGAGAGAACTCAATTCAGATATTTTCAAATAGCATATATAACATGTAGTGTTATTCTAATAAAAACATGTCCACTCGGAGCCTCCACTTCAAAGAGCAGAGGCCTGTACTACATCTTCAGAGCAATCTGACTAATATAACATTAGCGTTAAGAAAGCTTACTTAAATATCTGCCACAACACAAGTAACCGTATCAAAGTAACATTACGTACTGTCCGCGGCACTGTGAGTGCAGACATCGATGTGTCCCATTATCATTCATATCACATCATATCACATCTGTATCATATATTTCCTTATCTGAGTCAGCTTCTTGAGCCGTATCTGGCCGTGCAACACTCAGTGTCACATACTGTATGCAGAAGTATTATTTTAAGCAACACATTAAGTTGACGAAACACTCGAGTCAAATGTAATTAAAGTCAGATCCACTCGTGTCTTGGACGGGGCAGTGATATCATAAACCTGTTAATGTACGCATTCAAACGCTTTTTCTTTTACCAGCTGTATTCACCTTGCAGGTGCAGCTATGTGGCTTTTATCCTGGATAAAGTGTTTAAGACATGGATGTTTAAAGTTTAACTTCTTCATATTTGTCTAATATAGTTGACTTTTCATTCAGGAAGTATGACGCTGCGCTGTCAGTGTCAGTTGTCCATGTTTGTGATTGGTCGAATGCTCCAAATACCACCCCTTTCATGTGAACGCGCACCTAACTAGACAGGACAAAACTGGCTTGAGTTAACGAGTTGATAACCAGCGTCGTAGGACAGTTTAGCGAGAGCGCGTTTGTTTTGGATTAGCTAAGCCGGGTAACTCAAACATATCCAGGTTAGGTTGAACCGGCTTCGTAGTACAGGCCTCAGGTCATACAGTCAAAATGACAAAGCGTTTTTTAACCACTAGAGGGGGCTAAAAGCTCAATTAATACACTTTGAGAATCAGAATACCTTTAGTGAGATCCACGTTGTTAAACCTCAGTAAGGCTGGACTCAGAAGAAAGGATACAAAAGAGCAAATCCTCATTAATATAAATGATATTATCTGATTCATACAACAACATTACAAAGTTGACTTTTATTAGAGAGAAACACACCACCTGTAGCCTTCTCTTTTATACTAGGAGTATTTATTTATCTCTCTCTAATTTCATCTTAAACACAAACAAAACACCTACTGTGTTACAAACTCTCAACTCTGTCTTCTCAGGAGTGCTTTCATCTTTAGCAGGCTGTCACGTCTTCACAAACCTTCATCTCCGTAGCGTGGGATCACAGGAATCTGTCCTTGTAGTTAACCTCCTCCAGGTTGTGATTCTTTCAGTGTTGATACATCTGGAGGTTTTTACTTGGAGCTAAAGGACACACAGAGGCCTCCTCCACTCCAAAACAAATGAACCAGGCTATTTAAACCGATTAAAAAGTCAGACAAAATCACTTTCATGTTATTAATCAGTTTTTCTCTGACGCTGTGCGGCTGCCAATATCATTTGCCTAATTTCTTTTTACTGATGACTTCACATTCAGGTGTCCAATGACTAAAATCCTTTACCCAGTTAAATGATATAATAAAAAATTGCCAAAATCAAAAAAAGTTTGCTAGAAATGTGGCATACATATACAAACTGCTCCTGGCAACCACAATGCCGATGTGTTGCCATTACATGACACAGATTAAAACAAACTGCTACCATGGACATACCTTACAAACTGACAGACCTCAACTAAATATATTCTATTGTACTAGACGTTTTTATACATTTCAATGCGGATATGTCAAATATTATACCTTTTTTATTTTTTTATTGTAAGGAATTGAATATACCAAAGATGAAAACTAATTGTGTGTTTCAGGCAGCCCTTGTTTTCCTGCTCAGATCTACGGCAGGGACAGGCGCTACTGGAGGAAGTACATCCAGTTTGACTTCAACCAGCTCATCAGACTGGCCACTCAGGAGATCATTCACTTCAAGTGAGAGACCAAATGTGCACACACAGACACAGGTGTGCACAGATACAGGTGTGCACATATAAAGGTGTGCATCAATCACTTACTCACTCACTTGTGAGGTCGGGTTTCAATAGATTTGGCCAGAAACACCTGTTTTGTATATAATATCACGTTTATACCATCATGTTGAATTCATTTATCTGCTGTGTTTTCTAAAATGTTTAGTTTTTATACGTATGTGAAGTATAAATAAAAAGTGGTCTGTAATAAAAAATAAAATATTTGTATTTTTCTAGCTCGGTCTGGCCCTCACATTTATTTGTAATGCCTCAGGAATATCTCCTTTAGGATTTGTGTCGCACAGATGAAAAGCTCTTATTTGTTTTTAGTGGCTGTGGTTAGGACATGGAATGAAACACTGAGTCCAGAAATGGACTGATATGAGGCAATCAAAATGGGAGTGAAAACAAAGTGGAATTAATCTTACTGGTGTAGCATGTCACTGTAAACTCTACTTTAATCATTTATTATTTAAGCGAACATTATGTTTTATTGATATGTTTTTATACACGTGATGTTTTCCCCGATTTCTCTCAACTTTGTTAAATATTTACACATCTCCACTCAAGACGTAAGTAGGAATAACTTGCATAATGACTTAAAGGACAATCATTGATCAAGTAAGGGGTGGGAATGAATAAGCATTTGCTTCCTCCTACTCCCTTTCGGACACGTATGATTTAAAAAAAATTATTATTATTAATATGAAGATTTTTTTTGTTGAATATATAAATATTATCGTGAATGTGGATAAATACTGTATTTTAACAATACGGTATTCTGTTTTTCACATTTGTTATTTTAAAAAAAAAAATTGTTCGAAATAAAGATTGAAATGAAATGAAATGAAAATAAGACTCCCTTTGTTTCCAGTCTTTAGCTTAGCATACAGACTGGAAACAAAGGGAAACTGCTAGCATGGCTCTGTTAAGAGGTCACAAATTGTGCTGACCAGCTTCTTCCAGGCTTTATGCTAAGCTAACCGTCTCCTGGCTCCAGCCTCATATTGAACATATAGACGTCATCTAACTCTGAGCATCAAGGGAACTAAGTGTAATGTTCTGAATCAATTCAGAGGACCAGGATAACATCAACCCTCTGAAGGGGAAAGAAATGTCAAACATACAACATGCTTAAAATAATTGTCATGCAAATCAGCTAAAAAGCCATAACATGTTCTATAAAGTGAGTCAAACGAAACAACACTAATATCGGGGAAGAGAACTTGAGGTTCTTTCCTCGCTGTGTTTTAACGGTGGACTCTGGCTTATACATATCTGCTTTGACTCTGACACCATGTCATAAAATGTGAAGTATACTCCTGAGTATGTATATACTCAGGAGTATTTGGCTTTAACCTCTAAACTCTTAGAATTAGAGCTTTAAAAGGTGCAAACAACCCTTACTTAGACTAACTGCTGTGTTCATTTTCCCACCTTCCATTCAATCGAATTGATATTTAGTATAAACATCCATGTGACGATATACATTGACATACTGAACTGTGGTGGAAACAGGAAACAGATAAAAGAAAACAGGGCCATAAAGCCTGCGTTTTCTGGGAAGTGTTAGGTAATGGTCGGTAACAATGATTGAAGCGCAATCGATCGCCTCTCTTCTGTAATGTTTGCGATTCAACAAGAGCGTCTCCTTGGCAGCTGCAGATAAGACCTGAAAAAGGAAATTGATGTGGTAAAGAAGATCTGCATATCTGTCATGTGATCTCATCACAAAAGGCATTTTTCACAGCATAGGAATTTTTTTATTTTTTTTTTATTTAACCTTTATTTAACCAGATAAAAACATTGAGATAAAATCTAATTTTCAATGCTGACCTGGCCAAGAAGGCAGCAACGTTACACATAACACATAACACAAACATATAAAATACAGAGAACATAACAAAGAAAACAAAAGACGAAAAAGCAGTCACTACATTGTGCACATTTGGACAATAAAAAAGTACACTACTTGTTACTGCAAGAGCAGCTGGTGGTGAGGACTTCAGACAACTTCAATTTAAAACATGATATAGAGACAAGTGCCCTCAGTTTAAGGCGTGATTGAAGGTCATTCCAAGACCAAGGACCATAATAAGAAAGACTCCTTTTTCCAGCCTCAGTCCGTACAGTAGGAACCTGGAACCGTATCCAGGCACTGGATCTGAGGTTGTAAGAGTCACAAACTGGGGCAAATCTGACACATTATGTAGAGTGGAAGCTTACCTAAAATGGCTTTATACATTAATAAAAACCAGTGCTGCATCCTACGCATAGTAAGTGAGGACCATCCAGTTAGGCTATACAGTGTGCAATGATGAGGAAATGAATAATAGGAAATGCAGTGCAACAATGTGACAGTGAGTCACCCTGCTCAATACCTTGAAGCTGAAGCTCATGAAACCAGGCCATTACTCACTTTTATTGTTTGCAAGGTTTTCCTACTGAAACATGAAAGGGTCTTGTGTAAAAAAAGTGTCTTTGACCTGTTGCCATAGTCTGTCTGACGCAATTAGAGTTGGAGTGCGGGACTTTTACATATGAATGAACATCCACTACACCCTTTCCAAATGAGTTCACACAAAGGGATTTTTAGCGCCGCCAGGGAAAGCTCTCTGTATCTCTTGAATACCGGAGTGGTGAATGTATGCCTGCAGGTATGCCTTTTGAGCATCATCTCCCCTTAACAGCAGTTATTTACTGATACACTCACTTTTGATGCAGCTTTTTATGTCACTGCATCCAAAACTTATTTGAGAAGTTTATAAACTACATAAATCCAGAGAGGCAGCATAATCCAACAGTAAAAGTCTGTCTCAAATTAGATGTTTCGGTCTGTAAAGTCTGCTTGTGTCTACCAATGCCACTGTTAACGATGTTTTATGCAGTATAAAGTACGAGAAGCTCAAAGGGCTAGTTTTAGAGGTAATTATCAAGTGTTTTGTTGGGAGGGTAAGTTAAAGGACTCCAGGGGCTCGTAAAACCTCTAAAAACGTAAGTTGAAAATTATTGTTGCTTTTTGTTGCTGACATAAGGGAAATCCATGTTTCCTCTGTCAGCAGCTTCGTGCTGTAATATGCAATTTGGTTTTTACAGCACATCCTTAAAGGATCAGTACACAACCTACATGTTGTCATTAAATGGGTCATTTTGTCTTAGGAAGTGAGACGCTTGTCATACATGTACATTTACAGTATGCATGTTAATAATATGTCTGTGTGAGCTGAGTTGTCAGCGGACTCTGTCCCTAAAGGAGACACTCACTTGCCTGCAGGTTGAGGAGATTAAATGAGAAAGTCCAAACAGAAAGATTGAAAAAGTAGATAACATTCAACAGATGGAACAAAAGCTTAAACCCCTGATAGAGTTAATTCATGTTGATTGACAGGTCTCACAGAAATTACATAATTGGGTTTTGAAAGAGTTTTAATTTTCCAAACTAAGCTTAAAAAAAAGACATATACCATACCGTATATAATAATATATATTAACACATTTGTACATTTTACTTTATTAAAATCTCAAAACACAGTACAAGTCTGTAGGCAACTGGACAAGATATTTGGTATTGGAAGCGCTTTGGTTTCTGTGTGTAGTTCGATAAGTGTTAAACATTCACGTTAGAGCAGCCTTTGATTGAATGCACATACATAGTCTAAGGAAGGAGACAAAATGTTCGGGGAACATATGGCAGAAATGTTGGCTAACCTCTGGTAAAGGAGTGAAACTGGTAAAAACAGGAAATAAATAATTTTCACTTCCAAAATCAGTGAACATAATGTAGGAGACGCTACAAGCTTAAGGCTAACTTAAAATCCAGATCACCCATCATCAAAAATGTCCATCGTTATAAATAGAGTCTTACTGTATCTTACCTCATCTTATCTTATCTGATGAAAAAGTGTAGTTAAAACCACCAAAATCCAAAAAGTGTATTGTAAAAATATGTGTTAATTTATGACAACTTCGGGCAGACAGCACACCGTCAATTGCTACATATTGTATCTTTAAGTCTTTAAGGCAACAGCAAATTTCAAACACATTGAATGATTAGTTTCCCATCTGCAAGGTCCTTTATTAATCACTTTGAGCACCAGGAAAAGCGCTATATAAATAACATGTATTATTATTATTATACTTTTTTGGGTGGAAACAAGGGCCAGCTTTAAGCCTTTTTATGAATAAGGGCCATAAACATCATCATGTTACTGTGAAAGTTGTTCAAAGATTTTCCAATCTGCATAAATTATAACAATGACATGTGTCGTGTGAGACCATGGGATTCTTGACTGGTTTTAGAAGCTGATTCTCTCCTCATAAAGTGACAGCAGCAACAGAATACCCCACCCGCTCAGCAGGCCGACGTTCTGCAGCAGGAACATCAGCCAGGGTCTCTTGTTGCTGATGTGGACCATGGTGGGCAGCTAGAAGGAGAAAGAGGAGAGATTTAAGTTTCTATTGTGATGCCAGCTACAGTAAATGTTGTCCTTAAAGACAAGTACTCACCATGTCAGCCAGCCCCACATACAGGAAGAGTCCTGCAGTGATGGCAGCGATCCACTGCTTGGTGGCGAGGTCGGTGGCTACGGACAGAGCGATGTACAGACCCACGAACGAGGTCATGGCGCTGCCGACATTTAAGAGCAGAGCCTTGCGCACAGACACACCGCTGTGGAGCAGAATGGCAAAATCACCTGTAGAGAAAGTTAGTAAAGTTTATTTAGTATTGAATCTTTCATAGAAGAAGATCACGAAGGAATACAAATTACACAAATGTGACGGCAATGACAAAACAAACATAAATAGAATATGATGGACAACGTGAAAGTCTAACTTCTGACTGTTGGTACTTAAAATGTTCTTATTGAGTTTGTAATGGTACAGCAGACAAAAGAGGCTTTCATATAAGTTATTTTTGGGAATTTGTGTTCATTCAATGTTTGTGATGAAGACAGTTGTTTCCCTGACACAAAAATAGGATTAATTAATAGAAAATAAACAGAAAAACATCTGCATTGGTATCTGCATTGCCAAAATTGGTATTCTAAAATGTCCATATGGCGCAACAACAGACCTTAAAAACGGACTAAAAAACACAATCGCTTAAGGCGAGACAGAGGGCAGTTTCAATATGTTTATGGAACACAACAAGAGCAACAGGCTGATGTAGTCTCTGTGTGTTCTTTACCCAGTTCATGAGGTAGTTCATGGCAGAGAACAGCGAGTGACGTGGCCA